ACAGCGTGAGCAGGGGAGGTCAGAGAGAGAGGGAATCACGGACTCTGAAACAGGCTCCAGGCTCTGAGCTGGCAGTCAGCACAGAGCCCGACGCGGGGCTCGAACTCACGAACCGCGAGATCATGACCTAAGCGAAAGTCGGATGCTTAACCGACCAAGCCACCCAGGCGCCCCTAGCCACTCTGTCCTAATCATGGGAGAGTGCAGGCTTTGGGCCCCTCTGCCCAGATGTGAAACCGTCTGCACCAATCATGGGCTGTTCAGACTTGGCCAACTCAGCTCCCCACACGCTTCCTTTCTCTCCCCTGTAAGCGGGAGCTCATGATAGTATCTGCCTCAGAGGGTTGCTGTGAGGGTGAACTGGGGGACTATATATAAGTTGTCATCCAAATTGGGATCATTTTGAGGGTGCAAGGGGCAATGGTAATAATCATGCTGAGACAATAGGTATAAACCTATTGAGTGTCTCAGGCAAACCAGGACGCAGGGTGACCTCAGGTAGTGCCTGATACCTAGCAGCCATTCTACATATGTAGCTCCACTCGTGTTGTTGTTCAGCCGAGTGCTAGGCAGAGGGGGGTTACTGAGTGCCCTCCCTGGGCCTCAGGGCCCCTAAGTTTCTGCAGAGCAGTTGAGAACCACAGAGATTCCTTTCAGCTCTCCTGAGCCGTAAGTTATGATCCTGGCCTGCTGCTGCCCGCCCCCCCCCGCATCCTCAGATCCCCCTGACAGCAGGGAGACCTCACTCACTTCCCCCCATGATGTGAGCTGCCTCATCCTGATCCCAAATTTCCCGTCAGCCCTTTGACCGAGCAAAGACAGAGAAGACTGGCTGCCTCTACGTGCTGTGTGGGTTGTAGATTTCTCTCTCCCCAAGCCCCATTTGCATATGGTTTGCTTATGTGTGCACCAATGGGGATGGACCCCCTTACATTACCCTGAGAAAGGAGAGTTCCTACCATGTGACTGGAAGAGAAACTGAGGCAGTGTGGTTAGTGATCTGCCTGAGATAGCACAGCAGGTGGGGCAGGGCTCCTTTTGAAACTCCCCCTACTCCCTGCCCCAAAGAGGGGGAAGGAGCCCTAGGTGGTACAGGCTGTGATTCCCAGGCTCTTTCCCCACCCTGGGTAATCAGTGCCCCAGGAAGGGGTTGAGGGCAGGAGATGGGGTACGTGACAGAGTTTGTGTGGGGCCCCAGGCTGGGGAAAACTGGCCACCCGGGGGATTAAGGGGCCAGAGGGCTGGGTGCTGCCTGGATTAAATGTCCCTGAGGAGCCTCTGGCAGCTCTTTTCAGGGCAGAGCAGGTGGGCGGGGAGCCTGTGGGAGGGTCAGCCCTCGCTCTTTGCCTTTCTCCTCCCCCTGCCACCAGCGTCCTCCACTCAGACTGAATGTGGACTTGGCCTGCCCCCTCCCTCCGCAGTGCCGGGGCCCCATTCAGGAGGCAGCTGCCTGGATGCTCCTGACTCCTGGCTGCCTGCTGGGCCCCTGCCTGCAGCCCTTTCACAGTCACTGCTCCCCCCATGCCCCCACACCAGCCCCAGACACCGGAATGCCCCTGCACCCCCCGCCCAGCCAGACCTCATCCAGAAGGCGACCCAGTGCTAACAGTGGATGAGTCCAGGGCACAGGGCACATGGCAGCGGGGAGCTTTGGGGTCCTCAGTACGTTATTAACAAGGAAGATTGTATTTGTAGAGTTTATTTTCCCTAAATCTCCAAACCGTGGATCTTATCCCCCATACCTGGCCTTGAAGGAGGCCCAAAGGCAGGAAGTGTGCCCAGGAGCGTCAGCCAAGCCCCCGTGACACGGGTGTCACTTTGAATGAGGCAAGTAGAAGTGGACACCGAGTCCATGAAGCCCTCGGCCCTGGAGAGCAGCTAACCCACTGCAACCTGAAGGGACGTTAGGCATGCTTGATAGATGAGGCAATTATGGCTTGAGATGTTTACCCTAAATTATACAAACTAGTTAGTGGCTGTGACAAGGATGAGGTTTTGCCTTGTTCCTTGCATTCTCCTTTCAAAGCCCTGGGCTTTCTCCTGGGCCATCGGGATGTGCCTCTGTCTGCCTTCTGTTTACGTCCTCTCTCTGGGACTCTGTCTCTCCCTTTGTCTTCCTCTCTCTGCGACCCCCATGCCCAGTGTCTGCCTCTGCTCTTGCCCTCATCTTCACCAGGTGGGGAGGATGGGGGGGTGGGTGGAAGGCATCCTGTGTGGAGCCAGCCCCTTCCCTGCCTCTCTCTCTCCCTGCTAGGCACCCTCTTTCATCCCTGAGGCCTCATTATTAGGGTAGCGATGACCCCCATTGTCTGGCTTGTCTGGTCCTGGCATGAAAGGTAGAGTTTTGGCAGAGAAGGGAGACTCGGCCTGCTTCCAGCTCATTCTCAGTAGTCTGGAGCCTGTAGTGTGCTTGGGGCAGGACTGGCAGGGGGTGGGGGCCCCCAGAGCCACAGGGCAGCCCCTGTCACTAGGACAACAGCAGGGAGCCCTGGAGGCGGAGGGAGAGCAGGGGAGCAGGTGGTTCTTTGTCTGGAGCTGGAACAAGGGAGATGGGCCCTTGCCTGATCCCAGCCCCTCCACCCCACTGCCCTCCCAGGCCTCTGAGGCGGCCCCTGGGAAGCGATTGGTGTCTCTGCTCTTGAATGAGAGGCCATCAGGCTTCCTCCCCGAGACCATGTCAGCAGAGACTCCAGCCTGTGAGCATATCAGTGCCCGCCCCTTGCTATGCTCATGGGGGGCGGCAGTGAGGAAAAGTGGATCTTCTCAGGACTCGGGGCTGCTTCTCAACTTCCACTCCTCACCCCTACCATCAGCCCACCTCGCACAAAGGAGCCTGTATGAGGCCGGGCTGGGGAGTCAGGTGCCCTGCATCGGCCCTCAGGGGTGCAACGGGTCCCAGGCATCAGAAGGAGACCCTCGCTGGCTGTCATTGCCACTTTCCTTCTCCAGGCCTCGCTTCCCTAGCTGAGCACTAAGGAAGTCAGAACTGTTGCTAGGTGAGGCTCTATCCCGCTTTCAAGATCTCTGTTTACGATGGGCCCGGGAGACCCCCAGAGCCTCCTCCTCTCCCTCCTCTCACTGCGTTTGATCCTTCACATTTGCTCCAGGGCAGCCCCTGGAGGCGGAAAGGAAAGTCGGGGGCCTCCAGTGCTGCTAAGCCAGCTGGGTGCAGAATGCCGCCTGCCAGGCACAGCATCTGACCTCTCTGTGCTCCTTTTTCCTGTGCCTCTGTTTCCTCCTCTGTCCTATGGGGATAGTAATAGGACCTGCTTGTGAAGTTGTCATAGGGAGTCAAAGAAATTATACACATAAAGTGCCCAGAAAGGTATTTGGCCCCATGAGGCAGTCAGCAAACGTTAGGAGTTTTCATCCTTTAAAGACCGTCATGGCGCAGGAAGGGGCCGAGTTTCCTGAAAGTCTCAGCAGTGTGAACCAAATAGGTGCCATCCCTGGAACCTGATACTTGGACTTGAGGGTGGGGACACGTGCAGAGTTTTAAATAGACCTCTTTAGAGATGTCCTCCCTCGTTGAGTTCTGGGAAGAATTGACTTGTGAGTTTTGGCTGTTTTCTCTTGGATTGTCCTAGAGGTACTGCTCGCGGAAACAGCCTTCCTAAAATAGTCTCCGTTGACCTTACCTAGAAAAGGGGGAGAGGTGCCTGCATGGCTCAGTCGGTTGAGCCTCCGCCTGTTGATTTTGACTCCGGTCATGATCCCAGGGTCGTGGGATCGAGCCCCACATTGGGCTCTGTGCTGGCAGCACGAAGCCTGCTTCAGCTTCTCTCTCTGCCCCTCCCCCCCTCAAGCTCTTTGTCTCTGTCTCTCTCAAAATAAATATAAAAAAAGTAAAGAAAAGGGGGGAAACATGGGTTTGGTCACCTGGGCTCCCCTGCCGTGGCCTCACGGACATCCACAGTCTGTTTGCTTTTTACAATCTGAGCAACACACTGCAGTGCCTGTGGGCACAGCGAACTCGTGCGGGGAAGCACTTTGTGAACAGGACAGCTCTCAGCATCGGCGACAGACAGCTGGCATCGTTCTCTAGCAGGGTGTGTGCTCTGTGGTGGGTGGGAGGGCTCTGTGAGTGAAGAGGGGCTGTGGGCTAGGCACAGAAGGCCATGGGCTTCCCTGGGAGAGACAATGAAGATCTTTAGCTACTGAACCGATGGTACCTTCCCTGGAAGATTAGTACCTGTCTGCTCGTCCCAACACCCACTATTTATACACCCAAGAAATGTTACTGAGTGCCGATCACACTCGGCTCCTGCTAAACGCTGGGCTACACGGTGCCGCCAGTGCCGGTGGCCCAGCAATGCAGTGAAGAGGCTCAGGGAGAAGAGTGGAGGGCCGGGTAGGCTGGCGGCCGAGGTCTGTCCCATGTGCAGGGGAGCAGCCAGAGCAGCCTGCGCCCCGGGGAATCCTGAGACTGCATGGAGTAGCTGGGTAGGGTGAGTGGGAGACTCCCAGGGAGATGAGGGTGGAAAGGGACCCCTGGGGGGAGGGACGCAAAGCAGCACCGTGTGCGTGGCTTTAGGTGTGCGTGGGCGCAGGTGTGAGCGACGCCGGCAGTTGTGCAGAAGGATTGGCAAGGCTGGGCCCCTGCTTCCCGGTGCGGAGGCTCAGCATTCCCCACTGGAGTCCCCCTAGCCCACGCCCCAGAATTCCTCATCTTCCTCCCCTCCTTGCCTTTCCCTTCCTGCTTTCCTTCTGTCCGGGGTCAGGGTTGGGGCGGACCTGTCTGAGCCTGTTTCCCTGTCCACGCACGAGATGGTTGGGTTGGGCGATCTCAAAGGGCTCGGGGGCCTTCGGGGGCCTTCGAGGACTTTTAAGTGGTTGTCTGTACACTATTTGGATGTTTCCCACGGGGGCCTTGGGAATATTCCAGAAGCGGCCTGGGCCTCTGCTGGCGGAGGGCTGGGGACAGAAGCCCGTGAGTGTGGATGGAGATGGGCACCTGCAGGGCCCCACTGACCCCACTGCTGTGTGTGCTTCTCCCTCAGTTTGACCCTGGGAACACAGGCTACATCAGCACAGGAAAGTTCCGGAACCTCCTGGAGAGCCACAGCTCCAAGCTTGACCCACACAAACGGGAGGTGCTCCTGGCTCTCGCCGACAGCCATGCGGACGGACAGATCTGCTACCAGGATTTTGTCAACCTGGTGAGCACTCTGCGGCCCTCACTGTTGGAAGGGACATGTTTGGGGTTTATGGCTTAGAAGACCTTTTGGTGGAGGCAGGGGTGGGGGTGCTGGGTGGCTCATTCGGTTAAGCATCCCACTTTGGCTCAGGTCATGATCCCATGGTTCATGAGCTCAAGCCTCACTTTCTGCTCCCACTGACAGTGTAGAGCCTGCATGGCATTCTCTCTCTTTCTCCCTCTCTCTTTCCCTCTGTCTCTCTGTACCTTGTGGGATTCTCTCTCTCTCTGCCCCTCGCTCGCTCATGCCCTCTCCTCAAAGAAAAAAAGACCTTTTTGGCTTTTGGGACAACTGCAGGGATCTGTTGACTTGCAACTTTGAAAAAGTGTAGGCTTCAGAAGGTGAAAGGAGATCGCCAGGGACCGGGTTTCTCACTGTCACTCAGTTCTGCCTTCTTCAGCATCAGCCCATACTTAAAGAAGCCCCTGGCAGTTCCAAACTCTCTCATGTGGCAGCAAAGTGGCTGCAGCTGCTCCAGCCCTTACACCCTCAGGCCCTCACCATGCAGAGAAAGAGAGGCTCTCTTTTGTGGTAGTTCCCACACAAGGCTTGAGATTTCCTCCCTCCCATTGGGCCTAGATTGGGTCAGGGGCATGTGTTGATTGACTCAGGCCAGTCAGTGCCCACCCGTGGCGCTGGGGGTGGGGTCGGTTCCACCGAGAGGTGGGGCTCAGAGTAGGAGGTGGGAGGTTATCGTGGAAGGAGAAGAGCTGGGGAGTGGATGCTGAGAGCATTGGGGCGCTCGGATGGAGGCCAGGGCTCCTCAGACCTGCTGGCTGATGTCCTGGGTCATCAAAGAGGCCAGAGACAGGAGGCCTGTGAGCCCCGCCCACTGGTCCAGTTTCTTGAAGCAGAGACTTCCTCCTCAGCAGAAGTCACTGCTGCGCTGTCATGGGGGCCACTGTGTGGGGATGGAACGGCGTTCAGTGGGCTTCAGCAGGAAGCATCCCACCAGGGATGCGGATGGATGGGACGTGAGCGGAAGCTGTGTGAACCAGCTGGGTCAACCAAGGCCACAGCCTCCTCTCGGCGTCCCTGTTGGTGAAGTGAGAATAGTCACCCCTTTTCTTGTCGCCCAGGGAGGGGAAAGAGTGAAATGACTCGTGCAAAGTTCCCCAGGCTCCTCGAATTCAAGGGCAGCGGTGACGGGGGCCAGTACCAGCTGCCCCTGCCCTTGTGCTGGTGAGCTCTCTGACGTGGGCGCCCAGGCTTTGGGGTTGTTGTAATTGCCTCGTGATGGAGACCGGCCTTTGCTCGGAGGTTAGCATGATTGCAGGGAACAGCTGTAGGGCTTTTAGGGGTGAAGAAATCTACTGCTCAGAGTGGAGCCAGAGAGCAGACCTCCTAGAGGCTGGGGGCTGGAGCCGAGCTAAATGGAGGGGTCAGGATGCGTGGATCGGGCGGTGGACTTGGAGCCCAGCAGCGCCACCAGAGGCCGGGCCACGGGTTTGAGCCTGCATAGGCTCATCCACAGCCGCAGTGCCAGCGTGACTGCTACATGCCCTGCTCAGTCTTGGGGCAGAGCGAAGGCTTGGCTGGGCCAGTGAGGTGCTTTTCCAGCTGAGGGTCTGTGGGGTCCTCTCTGATGTTCTTTAACCAGCTAAACCTGCCTGCATCTTCGGTGGGCCCTTCCCCAACCCAGCCCAGGCAGAACGAACCCGCCTTATCCAGAGCCCCCAGTGTGCTTTGCCCAGGCCTCTCTTATAACACAGACTACATTGCATTACAGCTGGGTGGTCAGGGTTGTCGTGTACGGGCGTGCGGCCTGTGTACTGTACAAGGACGCCTGCCAGTGAGGCGAACGGGGACTGCAGTGTGGCTTGGGTTCTGTGCATCCACCTGGAAGAAGAGGCTTCCTTATCTAACTGGCACGAAAGCACCCTACGGGCCGCCATGGACTCCGGAGTCGCACGTAGCTGGATTTGAATCCTGACTCTTTGGGTCTTTGAGAAAAGTACTCACATCCAGGGTTTAGTCCCAGCTTCATAACGTGAAGATGATGCTATGCACCGAATAACACTCATGTGCCTCTCCTTGTAGGCTCCACGAGGCCCGAGACCCAGGATGCTTCTAGACCCATCAAGGGTGCAGGCAAATGGCAAGAGTGTGTGCACGCTGCTCGTGCTGAGCCCCCCGCCCCCCACCCGGTCTTCAGGGTGTGGCCATGGAGAGGATGGGAATTGGGGAGCAGCGGTAGGGCTTCATCTGGACAGGTCTCCTAGAGGGGACGAGGTTTATACCAGATTTTGAAGGCGGAAGTCCGTGGGACTCAGGAATAGAGCAGGGGCGCTGCCGACTGAGGCTCATTCCACCTTAACCGCCCAGGCCTTGGTGTGGCCTGGTTCACCCAGCCAGCCCTCTCTGGACTTCTGCTATCGGGTTTAGCCACACGTTCCCTGATAGGGCCACAGCCCCAGGAATATGTTGATAGCCCCCGCCCCAGCTACCCAGGCAGCCCTGTGGGCTCTGGGGTTGGGAGAGCTCTATCTCCCCGTAAGAATGGCCTGGAGTGTGCTCATGGAGGGCGGGTGGGAGGCAACAGCGGCCGCGGGAGCTGGAAGTCAGCAGGGCCGGCCGTCTGGTTTCTGGGAGTCGGGCTGACCACAGAGGGAGGCCGCCAGGGCGCTAGTGAGGGGGCATCGGGGCAGCTGGAGGATAGGGCCGGTCCTCAGACAAGGCTCAAGCAGTCCCCGGGCTCGCCAAGCATTACAGGCCCCTCAGAGGCACTCAGGAGTGATGACCTTCCGCAAACACAGCTCTGGGTTCTAGTTCTAGGGACCTCTCTACAAACTCGTCCACCTAACCACGGCTGCCCACCTCTTCCCAAGCTAGCACCTCTGCGGACACTAACTCCTACTCATCCTTCAGTTCTCACTCAGTTACCCCTTCCTCGAGGAAGCCCTCCCTGACTACCATGGGACAGCGCTGGGCTGCCTCCCGTGTGCTCCCCCAGCAGCCTTCACAACGACCCGCGATGGCTGCTTACTTACTTATCTCGAGCACCATTGTGTGCAGACACAGTCACTTGTGACGGATGGGTGATGGGTAGGTTGATGGAAGGAAGGTACGGTGAACATGAGAACAGGATCTGGACCCTCACTGGGTTTGAACTTGCTGGGTTCCTAAAACTCTATGATTGTGTAGAACGGGGATGTTCGCAGTCCTTCTCTAACAGGTAGACTCGGTAAGAATATCCAATGAGTCCAAAACATGTTGGTTTAGAACATCGGCCACGTAAGACCCCAGGGAGTGTTGTTTTTCTCATTAACTGTTATAGAAGAAAGAGAAAGGTCGGATGAGGACTGGGCCGAGGTACGTAATGAGACCCCGCAACCCCAGTTCTGAGCCCTCCCCGCCCCCCCACCGTGTCTCCTGCACAGATGAGCAACAAGCGCTCCAACAGCTTCCGCCAGGCCATCATGCAGGGCAATCGCAGGCTCTGCAGCAAGGCCCTGCTGGAGGAGAAAGGCCTGAACCTCTCCCAGCGGCTCATCCGCCACGTGGCCTACGAGACCCTGCCCCGGGAGATCGACCGGAAGTGGTACTACGACAGCTACACCTGCTGCCCCCCACCCTGGTTTATGATCACGGTCACGCTGCTGGAGGCAAGGACGAGGGTGGGGGAGGGGCTGCCCAGCCCCCGGGTGGGGGGCGCCGAGGGGGCGGGCAAGAGGGTGTCTTGAGATCCAGACAGGAAGGGCAACGTCTTCTCCACCGAAAGGCAGTGGGCGGGGCTCAGTTGCGGGTGTGCGGATCAGGCCGCGTTACGGGGCCTGTGGGTGTGAGAACCTCTGGACCGCAAGGATGTTCCAAAGGCTGTTACTACCTAATGACGCTCACCGCAGCCAAATCCCCATACGACCAAGAACAATGCCCTAAGCTTGTTGATTTGGGCCAAGCTAACTCCTTAAAACTAAGTTATTTTAGTTCCTCCCTGTGTGAGGAACGTGGACCAGTCGTTTGCTCCCCCAGGAGGCCATCTCCCTCCCATAGAGCAGGGATCACCGGGCCCACTGCCTCCTCCCACAGGACTCCTCTATTTAGCGCCAGAGTGGCTGGTGGCGCTTTCTGAACGCAAAAGCACTCCTCAAAATGCATATAGGAGGGAGTGTTTATGAACAGGCAAATGTGGGCTGAACATATTTTGAAAGAATGTTCTCCCCTTAGGGAAGGATCTGTCCCTATCGCTATTCTAAACGTCTCCTGCTTAGGAGGCAGTAGATTCCAAAGGTACCGCTTTCTCAGTCCGTGCCCACGTGTGAGACACTCTGAATTCTTTTGTGCCGAGCCTAGAACCTGTGGGCCCCCAACCCCAGCCCCTGAATGGTGTTTTATAGTCTGCAGCGTTTCCCTTCCAGAGCCATGGGCCTCATTACCACCCTGGCATGTGTTCCCGTGAAGTTGATGCCGAATCAAATGGCAGGATCATTAGGCTCCATGGCGTCCTTCTTTTTTCCCCCGAATCAGAAAAGCAATAGCTGGTCTGCAGGCCAGGCGCTCCTCTGCCTGTTGTTACAGCTTCATCCAAGTACATGTTGAAGATCCGATGTTTCTGAGATATTCTTGGAATCGTTCTCCAAACGCTTACTGTGTTGGTCTATTTATTAAATTCTATTTGAGGACCAATAATAATGAGCTGCCTTGGGAGCTGTATTTGCCGCCAGACCACCCGTGTCATGTAAGATGGACAGAACGGCTCCCCAGAGAACCCAGGGGGGTCCATCTGCTGGAGGTGGGGGGCGCTGGGAATGGCACGGGTCCAGCCCAGGAGGCCTGAGCCCCACACCGATTATAGCTTCATTTGCTGAGTACATGACATGCACAGCTGGCCCTTTGTGTGCCTCAGCACTTTCAAACCTCAGGACCACCCTGGGGGCGTGGGCATCCCCGCTTCCAGATGAGGAGACCAAGGGCCAGAGCATTCCAGTAATTTGTCCAAGGTCATCCAGAGAGGCGTCCAGATTGGTTTCCAATTTCCAGAAACCTCAGCTATGGAAACTCAAACCACCGATCTAGAAGAAAATGCTGAAATAACTGTTTCAAAGTACTCGTACTAACGCCCAAAGCTTGTGTTTTACATACAGTTCCAGTACCTTGGATTTCTGGTTCCATAACAGGGAATGGAAAGGACGTGGCAGGAAGCTACTAGAAGGCACCCACGACCAGCCAGCAATAGGGAGTAAGAGCCTGGTTGTCACACCTGGTTAACAGGCTGCTGACAACCTGGAAGTATGGGTGAGAACAAAAGAAAATTTAGAAGCAGACCTGAGTCTTTAAAAAAATTTTTTTTTAATATTTATTCAATTTTGAGAGACAGAGACAGAGTTGTGAGCAGGGCAAGAGCAGAGAGAGAAGGAGACAGAATCTGAAGCAGGTTCCAGGCTCTGAGCTGTCAGCACAGAGCCCGATGCGGGGCTCGAACCCATGACCCGTGAGATCATGCCCTGAGCCGAAGGTGGGTGTTTAACCCACTGAGCCACCCAGGTGCCTGAAGCAGGCTTGAGTCTTAAAGAAACAGAAATTCGGGGCCATTTACTGTAGGAGTGAACACCCCAGGGACACCTGGCTGGCTTAGTCAGAGGAGCATGCGACTCTATCTCAGGGTCGTGAGTTCAAGCCCCATGTTGGGTGTAGAGATTACTTAAATAAATAAACTTTAAAAAAAAAACAAAAAGAGAACCCGGGTGGCTCGGTTGTGCATCCAGCTTCGGCTCAGGTCATGATCTCATGGTTTGTGGGTTCAAGCCCCACGTTGGGCTCTGTGCCAACAGCTCAGAGTCTGCTTCAGATTCTGTGTCTCCCTAAGAAATAAACATTAAAAAGAAAAAAAAAAAGAATGAGGCACCTGGGTGGCTCAGTTGGTTAAGCAATTGACTTTGGCTCAGGTCATGATCTCATGGCTCATGGGTTTGAGCCCCTCATCGGGCTCTGTGCTAACAGCTCAGAGCCTGGAGCCTGCTTCAGATTCTGTGTCTCCCTCTGTCTCTGCCCCTCCTCCCCCCCCCAAATAAATAAACATTAAAAAATTTTTTAAAATAAAGCTAATGAAGATGGTACATTTTATATTATGTGTATTTTACCACAGTAAAAAAAAAATCACCTAATGTAGAACTCCCTCTTTCCCCAAATGGATATGTAAGTTATTACTGCAATTATTTTAAAATCCTCCTAGCCCTTCCTGCCTGGCACCAGGAGGTGTGGGCAGAGCCTACGTGACCATTTAACACAAAACAATCAAACTGAAGTGGGGTGAGAGGTGGCTGAAAGCAAGGCAGGGCGCTGGCCTTAGGGGTCAGCCCTCATTCTCCGAGGACAAGTTACAACTTCCTGTAGGGGATTTGGACTCCTGGCCAGTCTCGCCTCTAGTAACAGGTCCTCACCGTTCTGTGTTTTCACCCAGGTTGCCTTTTTCCTCTACAACGGAGTGTCGCTGGGTCAGTTCGTGCTGCAGGTAACCCATCCGCGGTACCTGAAGAACTCGCTGGTGTACCACCCACAGCTCCGCGCACAGGCGTGGCGCTACCTGACGTACATCTTCATGCATGCGGGGTGAGTGCCTGCTGCTTTTCACTCTAGCCACAGTCCCTGTGGGAAAATGAGAGGTCCAGAGAGACTAGAATGAAATACGTTTCCATTTATTTTTATCTTCCTGGACACAGGATTTGAGGCGGCTCCTTGAAACTTACCTAATACCGGAAGCTATCAGTTCATTATTGACAGAGTATGGGAAAGGGGAAATAGATGGAGGAAAATGTTAAATGTAAGCCCACAGTGAGAACAATACAAATGTAGGTTATAAGTTCGTTCTGAGCTTCCTAGTGGCCAAAGCAAAAAGGGAAGCATGGTTAACACTATCCACAAACTGTGTGTATGTGTGTGTGTAAAATGCCCCCCATAAGTGAAATAAAGGACAGATTTCTTGAAAGTGCCTTTCTCCCAAGGTGGTCTCCATGGGTGGTGAGAGTTTCTTTGAGGAATTCTAGCAATAATTCTAGTTTCTGTTGACCAGTCCATGTAGCTTCTTTTGGGGGTGGAATGCAGTCAGTTCTCACTGGTACCGTCTACCCCATGACAAAGACCTATTGGCTGGCTGGGTGGCCACACAGGTCCCAGTCCCCTTGAGCATGATCTTAGCTGCAGACTGTTTTTACACAGAAAAAGCACTGAGTTGGGGAATCAGGATCCCCAGACACCACACCTCTGCGGTGTCTTCTACAGCCTCTCCGGGGAGAGAAGTGAAAGGGCTCACTGTTAGCCTGGGAAGAGCTGTGGGCGAGCCTGTCCCTGAGGTTGGGGATGGGGAGAGGATCACCCTGGTCCCTGAGGCTCCATCACTCCTGTTCCTTAGAAGAAAGACCCACAGTGGCCAAGAGGGAGCCTCACTGTGAGTCTCCCGTCCTGAGAGGCCACACTTGGTGAGAAGGGGCTTTGAGGAGACATGTCGATGGTTACCGATGAATGTCCCCACTCTGAGCCAGAGCGGATGGTTAGTGCGGGCAGCTGCCTTGCCTGCTGTATCCCAGGCTTCGATCTGACGGGACTAAGGAGCGGAATGAAAGGGGAGCCTCATGCATGGGGCTTCTTGTGAACCAAGATCTGGAGACTGCAGGAAGTTGGGGGGCGGGGGGAGGCTTCCCTGTCAGGCTGCCCACGCGTTTGAGTCCACAGCGGGTAAGACTGCCTGCCTTAGTTCCAGGACTGACCGGTGGCCTTCCTTGATCTTTTGGGGTGAGGAACAAGAACGGACAGAGTCTCCAAAACCTCTTTGTCCATTCCTTGCCTCTGGGAGCTAAAAGCCTGGAGGTCCAAGTGGACAGGGCACAGATGCTCTTAGCTGAGGCCCATAGCGGTGGCTTCAGTTCTTTCTCTGGCTATCGCTTGCTAATGGGGCAGTGTCTGCCTGGGAGAGCCCTGGGCGGAGATTCCAGGTCTGTGATTCTGAGGGAGGGAGGGGCTCTTGGCTGGTGCTGCAGCAGACAGGAGATAGGGACAGCTGGCCAGCATCTGGGGAGAGCCCAGCAAGGTGGCCTGTGACCCAGGGGCCCACTCTGGGCCAGTGAATCCAGTGCAGTAGAGAGGAGGGAGCTTGGATTGGGAGGCAGGAGCCCTGGATTCCCCTCACCTGGTGACTTCTAGCCTCAGGATCTTGTCTGTAAGCCAGGAGACAGGACCGGAAAACCTCTGCGGTCCCTCTGACTATGAATCTGATGCCAGTGGCCAGCTCTTTTCTAGTGCGTTTGTCTGACATTTCTGATCCTTCAGCTGGCCTTGGGTGCTGGAAGACTCCAGGCATGATAGGAGTTTAGAACAGAGCCCCATCTGTCTGAGCCAGCTTGCAGGTGCCCTCCTGGGGAAGCAGCTGCTCACGTGTGCCCAACATGGCACAGCGTTCAGCCTCCAGGCAGGGCCCTGCAGGCCAGGATCAAGGCTGTGGCCCAGGCCAGGGTCCAGACCCCTCGTGCCGGGCTCTGTTACCCTATAACTTAAACATCTTCAGGAAGCTGTACAGACGCCATAGGCTCAATTTACACGAGACAGTGGATGTTAAATGGCTAGACACCACTTAGCAACAAGATCTGGTCACAGATGTATGATAGGGTAAAAAGGAAAGTATTCCCAGGGTAAGAAAACCCAACCCTGAGTGTTGGGGTGTAGAATGAGATTTTAAGGGATTTCATGAGATTTTAAGGGATAACCGAATTGTTAAGTTCTACGAGATATCTCTAAAACTTGCAATTTTTTTTTAATATTTATTATTTTGGGGGGAGAGAGAGAGTGAGTAGGGGAGGGGCAGAGAGAGAGAGGGAGAGAGCACAGAGCCTGACTCAGGACTCCATCTCATGAACTGTGAGATCATGACCTGAGCCAAAATCAAGAGCCAGATGCTTAACTGACTGAGCCACCCAGGCGGCCATCTAATGCTTACACCTGTTTTGAAAAACTCTTTTTCTGTGAACATCAGTAGCTCTTACAAATGTGTAGTGAGCCAGAATAACTCCGTGGCCTGGTGAACGGAGTGGATTCTGACCATCAGGAATCCGGGCTGTGTGACTGTAGGCCAGTGAGTGCCCCTCTCTGAGTCTTGGCTTCTCATGTGTGAGCGGACGGACTTGCTGGATCTTGATCATGGTTAGGCGCCCTCTCACTATGGCAGGTGCAGGCGTCACAAGCACTGCCCAGGCCCTGCCCTGGTCCTTCCTGTCCCAGGTGGCAGGCAAGGTGTGCTGTTTCCAAGATGGACTGTCTGCACTATAACTCCTGTCCCTTAGACTCAGACCATGAGCTCTTCAAAGGCAGGTATAGGGTCTCAGTCCCTGCAGGATTCCCAGCATCTTGGCATACACTGTTTGATGAAGGAATGAATGAATGAATGAATGGATGGAGTGGTCTTTCTGTACAGGATAGAACACCTGGGACTCAACGTGGTGCTGCAGCTCCTGGTAGGGGTGCCCTTGGAGATGGTGCACGGAGCAACCCGCATCGGGCTTGTCTACGTGGCTGGCGTTGTGGCAGGTAGGCGGGCGGGCCACAAGTCCGTGGGGGTACACTTCCCCAGGGTGGCTGGGGACCCCATGGGATTGGGCAAGCCCCAGGCTTCCAGCGCTTCAGGACCCCCATCCCCAAGGCTCCTGACTACCAGGGTTAGCAAATCTCCCCTGGAAAGGGAACTGCCAGCCAAAGAGAGAGGCATGTGATGGCAAGCGGGGGAGACCACAGGATCCGGAACGGGCGATTGCCTGGGGTTTCCATCTTTATACTGCCGTGTTGTAGCTGTGTGAGCCTGGGGAAATTCCTTAACCTCTCTTGGCCCCATTAGGTTTTAGGAAGGAACTAATAAGATATGCCCGTAGGGTGTTACGAGGGTGGAGTGAGGTGACAATGGAGTAACTGTGCCATGTAAACTGTGCACAGGCACAGTAAGATCCCTGCAGGGACATTCAGGGTGTGGGCGGGGCCAGGCCCACCCACCAGGCCAACCCCTGTCCCCTTGATTGACCTGCTGCGTGCAGGAAGCACGTCTGGCCTAAGAGGTGGTGAGCACTCGTGCCAGCTGGAGGGGACTTGGGCCCCAGCCGACTCTGATCACATGGTGAAAGACCATGACCTTGAGGATGGTGGGCCCTGTGGCCAGCAGGACTCCCCCTCTCCTTCCCCGGAGGGGAGGTTAGGCTGGCCAGGGTGAGCTGGGGAGAGCAGACTGCATTTCTGCAGGAAGAGTCTGCACCAGCCGTGTTTCTGAACAGAGGGATCTCCCTCGTGATGCTTCCAACTTTATAGCTGGCTTCTTTTTTTTTTTTTTTTTTTACAAGGTTTGCCGCCTCAGCTCTTCACCTTGACAGCTGTGCCCAAGGGAGCTTTGTGTGTATGTTTAAGTAAGATCTTAATCCTTTCTGAGTGGCATTGAAGTTGTCATCAGGAGAGCAGGGCAGCGTTGACCTTGTAAACAGTGAGCAGACAGGGACTCTGGGAGTAACTGAAGTGGCTTCAGGAATCCAAGAGGGAAGGGTCCCACCCCACTCACCCATGCAAGGCTCATCCCCCAGTTCATGAACTCTCAGCATGGGAGATGGGCCCCTCACTGAGCTTCTTCATTTCTCTGTGTGCGGAGAATGAAAACTTGGCTACCTTGGACAGCACCCACATGCGCCTCCCGCATCCAGCACCTTCCACATCCTTGAACAAAGGTCTCATGAGGATCTCTGTGAGCCAGACTTAGCCGCCCACGCAGTCCCCAAGTCTTGACATCTGGAGATTTATAGCCACATTTTCTATACCTAGATACCCAGAGACCCAGATGGTTAATGGCGAGGAACAGGAAAGACACTCCTAACACTTGCAGTTAGTAGTCAATTAGATGGGAGTGTCCGTAACCCAGAAGACAGAAGTAAGGTTCAAGATGACTCAGGCCTCACCCAAACCAGATGATACCCAGCAGGGAGGCAGTGCAGGTATCACTCCCCAGGGACACCAGGGCAGAGTGGGATGGTGCGCAGAGGGAGGCCTTGCCAAGCAGACAGGAGGGTGTGGGGCCGTATCATAAAGCAAGTTACATGTACTATTCTGTCTGAGGCATTGATTCGGACCAGAGGGCACTCTGGTCACCATAAATCATGTCATTGATCTCCAGGATTGAGTTGATTGATCTGCCTGCACCCTTTCCTTCCTCTGTGTGCATCCCAGTGTAGAGGGGGCTCCATTCCCAGCCAGGCAGACCCTGAGTGGATAGCTAGTCATTATCAAGTGCCTGCCCTGCGCAGCCTGTATTTAATCCTCACAGCACCCCCTCGAGGCCAGTACTGTTACTCTCCACTTGCTACAGGTGTAGACACAGCCTTAGAGTGTCTCAGAAGACTTGCCCGAGACGAGCTGGCCCCAGACCCGGGCTGCCTGACCCCAAAGGCTGTGCTTCAAACCACTATCATATGTTATGAGAACCAAAAGATAGACCTTTCCTTGTGCAGGTTATTTATTGTCAGAAGCCAAGGATGTCCTTTTTTTTTTTGTAATGTTTTTATTTATTTTTGAGAGACAGAGAGATTGAGAGAGAGCAAGCAGGGGAGGGGCAGAGAGAGAGAGAGAGAATTCCAAGCAGGCTCTGCACTGTTATCTCGAAGCCCGTCATGGGGCTCGAACTCACGAATCGTGAGATGGTGACTTGAGCAGAGGTCAGACACTAACCAATTGAGCCACCCAGGTGCCCCCACCAAGAGAGGTCTTAAATAGATGGCAGGACCCAACCTTTAGCTCCCCACCCAAAGAAACTATTGCAAAGGCAAGGCCATCACATCTTGTAGCAATGACAGCCAACCTTTGCTGAGCTCTTGGCAATACTCTGGGCTTGTGATAGAGGATTCACGTGAGTTTTTCCGGAGTGACAAATCTTAGGAGGTGGGTACTGTCACCTCCATTTCATGGCAGTTCAGAGAGGTGAAACGACTGGCTTCGTTTTCTCAGAAAGACTAAGAAGTACTTGGAATGGGAACCCCATGCTTCTAGCCAATGCTTGAGACCAACGTGTCTCTGGCTTCTAGCTCACAATCACATGGCTAAAATGTAGGGACTTGAAAAACCAGTATTTTAAGGGCTCTACCAAGCTTTTCTTACAGATTACATAGATGATAAGCCATGTGGGCATCCCCAGAGACTCAGGGTTTGGCATATGTTAAGCAACAAATATTTGTAGAACAAAGGAGAGAATACGTAACATAAATAAAGTTATTTTGCTTAAAGGTAGATGTTCTGCTGATTTCTATTTGGATTTTTTTGTTGTAATGGCCAAGGGAGATGTTGGAAAACACCTGCTTTAAATTATTTCAGGCTAACATGACTGCAACTGTGCAGTATGATAAAGTCACCGATTTGTCTGCGTGCTGGTGTAGGCCCAGAACTTTCTCGAGAGAGTTCAGAGCCGCCACTGTAACTAGTCCCTTGGCCTGCTGCCGTCCAGAGGTGTGTGTCACTCCAGCTTGCCATCCAGTCCCCATCCTCTGCCCCCATGACCTCTGGGGCCTTCATACAGGCCTTATGGAACTGTCAGCTGTCAGGCTAGGTTCCAGACAGCTTGTCTGGAATCCTGTCCCGGGATGGCCTTCATGACCGTATTGATATGCATGGGTGCCATTGCTCTGAGTCCCTCTAGTCCAGGGGTAACCTGCGGCCACTTGAGGAAAATCTCTCTGCCACACACAGAGGACTGGTGACTTCAGATTGTTACCTTCAGGGTTCTAGAACCAGGATCCAAACCTCAAATCCTGGATCTCAGGATCTCGGACTGTTGAGTCTCTGACCTGGATGGACTCTTGAGGTCCCCTCCAGCGAGTGCCACATTTGACTCCCTAGGCCCCACCCCTACTCAGCCCTAGGCTCTCTGTGCTCCGCTCTGTGGGGTAGGGGTGGGGGTAAGGTTTCCTTTGAAAAAGAGGGTTTCGCTGCTCGGAAGTCGGAAAGCTTAGACCTCTTTATGTCACAGACGTGAAAGCTGAGGCCCAAAGAATGCCGGGGCTGTGCCCAAGGTCACTCGACTAGCCAGCCACGCCCCCATTCCAGACTCCTGCCACAGTCCCAACCTGACCCCTGACCCTGGGGTCGCAGACCCCGCTATCCATGGGTAGGGTGAGAGAAAGGTCAGTGTGGGGAGGCTGGACCCCGGAGCCTTCCCTACTGCCTCCCTACCGATGCGATCCCCCGCACTCGGGAGGCGGACGGAGCAGAAGCTGGGCCTGCTAGAGGCAAAGGGCCAGCCCGGGGAGGCTGGGGCTTCCTCTGTCCACGCGGTAATTAATGAGCGGCTCCTCCGGCAGCCAGCCCTCCGCAGCCCTGCAATGCAGCCTTCCTCGCAGGTCCCTGCCTGAGAGCGGGAGCGTGGGAATCCTTTGTCATGCAGATCCCACTGCCTGTCTGTTTGCCACCCTGGGATTTTTTTCCCTCTGTTATATATGGCTGACCCCTTGGCTAGGCAGTAAAAAAAAAAAAATTATCTGACAATAGATCAATACCTAATTAAAGCCAGAGGCAAAGCATGAAAGGGGAGAAGAAAGATTTATAGTCACCCTGGGAGGGTAGAAGGACTTGGGAGTTCTCGGTTCATGACAGTGCTTTTCCCTGGGAGATCACATCCCCCTTGAGACCAAGGATTTGCTGAGGGGCCTTGAGAGAGGTCTGAGGGGGCAGGGAGATGGGGAGAAGGCAGATGATGCCGTTCTGGGAGGTTCTTCATGCCCAGATGTGTCAGGAGCCCTGGTTCCCGGGCTGAGCCCAGCCTCCCAGGTAGTGGACCCTCCATCTCTGTAGAGCCTGCAGCCTGGACTTCTGCCCGTGCCTTCTGCCTCCACCCAGGCAGCGGCTAATTGGGTCCTGAGCCTGCGGGCATCTTCCAGCGGTGATTTCTGCGCGCTCACCCAGGCCAGCCACCTCTCAGCCTCTGAGCCCTGGGCTCTACCTCCCAGTTATTTTTAGTCTCGCGTGTCCTTCCCTGGAAGCCAAAGCATTGATCACACTTAAATGAGACCAGAACAATACATTTCCCTTCTCTTCTCTGCCCAACTTCCCTGCCAGCACAAAAGTTTGTCATCCCCCAGTCTGCACCCTTCCTTTCCCCCAGAGGGTATGACATCACCTTCCCCTTCCTGGGACTTTTCAAGGACATTTTCCCTCCAGCGGAACCCCCACTCTGAAGATTCTGCTGGCCTTTTGTCTGTCTCTCGGCTGGAGGGAGGTCGGAGGTGAGGCCAAGTGGGTTTTGAGATGCTGTTGAGCAGGGAGAGCGATGGTGGGGGGTGGAGGCTGACCTCTCTCTGTACCAGTTTGGGGAGTGGCTGCTATGGAGGCCAAGAACGTGGGCTTTGTGTCGGCAAAGCTGGACTCAAATCCTGGTTCCAGCCCTGGTACCAAGGGACTCCACTCAGCCTCCTCACCTCTGCAGTAAGGCTGCTGTCACCTTCCTCAAAGGGCAGTCTTGGGGGCTAAAGGGGCCGAGGTAAGTAAAGCATGTGGCCAGTGCGTGACACGCAGTGGCCCATGCGTGGTAGCCGCTTCTGCAGTAAGTGCCACTACTATTTGTTATTGCTCAGAACTCCAAGGTAGCGTGAAGTGAGGCAGGGCTGCAGTGACAGACGGCTGATCCCTTCCCTCTACTGGGTCTCCCGTAAAAGAAGTTCAAATCAGATGGCTCTTTCAAGCCATAAATCAAGCCTCTAGGAGGCTCCAAGGCATCCAAGGCTCCTGGATGAAAGGAGGAGACGGAGCCTTTGCTCTGGAGTCTTACCCAGAGCTGCTGTGTGCAAGGGCCTGGGGCAGGGGTGGGGAGTGCGCGCCAGCACCCTTGAACTCCTGATGTCTCTCTGTACCAGGGTCCTTGGCGGTGTCTGTGGCCGACATGACTGCACCTGTGGTGGGCTCCTCCGGAGGCGTGTATGCACTCGTCTCCGCCCATCTGGCCAACATTGTGATGGTGAGCACCTCCTGCCCCAGCATGCATATCTCGGCCTCCCCTCTGCATGCCAGTCCTCCCTGGGGATCTTCGTCGACTCCCCAGCCCAGGCCCGGGAATGCCAGGCAGACCTGGCTGGTATTAGCTTCACTCCTCACTTTCTGCAGGCTGATTTCAAATACATTTCATATACGATTCATACTTTTTCTTCTTGCCTATGAAGTTACCCATTTCCCTATTCTACCCCTTTCCCATTCAGCTTTAAAAAGTGTGACAGTAGAGGTGCCTGGCTGGCTTCATCAGTAGAGCATGTGACTCTTGACCCCATTGGGGTTGTGAGTTCAAGCCCCACGTTGGGACCAGAGCCTAGTTTTAAAAAAAGACAACTTTAGGGGCACGTGGGTGGCTCAGTCAGCTAAGCATCCAACTCTTGATTTTGGCTCAAGTCATGATCTCACAGTTCTTGAGTTCGAGCCCTGCATCGGGCTCCACGTTGACAGTGCAGGGCCTGTTTGGGGTCCTGCCTCTCCCTCTCTCTCTGCCCCTGCCCCGTTCTCTCTCACTCTTTTTCAAAACAAATAAACATTAAAAAATAAATTAATTAATTTGGGGTGCCTGAGTGGCTCAGTCATTCGAGCATCCAATTTCGGCCCAGGTCATGATCTCAAGTTTGTGGGTTTGAACCCCGTGTCAGGCTCTGTGCTGACAGCTCAGAGCCTGGAACCTGCTTTAGATTTCTGTGTGTGTGTGTGTGTGTGTGTGTGTGTGTGTGTGTGTGTGTCTGCCCCCCCCACACTGTGTTTCTCTCTGTCTCTCAAAAATGAATAAATGTTAAAAAAAAAATAATTACTTAGTTAATTTAAAAGGGCACCTGCGTGGCTCAGTCAGTTGAGCCATCGACTCTTGATTTCCTCTCAGGTCATGATCTCTTGGTTTGTGAGTTCCAGCCCTACATTTGGCTCTGTGCTGATGGTGCAGAGCCTGCTTGGGATTCTCTCTTTGCCGCTCTCTTACTCTCTCTCTCTCAAAATAAATAAGTAAACTTTAAGAAAAATAATAAAAAATGTAAAAAAAGGCAACTTTGAAAAGTATTGCAATCCTCGACCACTAGCATGCATCATAATTGTAATCCGTTGCTTGTCACAGATGATTAAAAGTAAAGGGACCTCATCAAAATTCTCAAAAGGGAAAGGAGCCTCTAAGAGGTTAAATGATTTGTCCACAGTCACAGTGAAGGTTGTGGCAAAATCAGGACTTGAACCCATACTTCCTGACAGCCACTCAGGTGTTACTCCCTTACACCAGCCTCTCATAGTGTTGGGACCAGCCATTCCTTTCCCATGCTCTTTTTTTGCTTTTTAATGAAGGGCTTTTTTTTTTTTTTTTAATATTTTGTTTCTCAAGGAATCTCTATGCCCAACATGGGGCTCGAACTCACAACCCCGAGACCAGGAGTCCCACGCTCTGCTGACTGAGCCAGGCGCCCGTCCTGAGAGGCGTTCTAGTACATGAGCTGAGAGCCCAGGCTCTGGAGCCGGTCAGCCCAGATCTGAGTCCTGGCTACTTACTTCCCAGAGAGGGACCTTGGGCAGATTACTTAACCATGCTGTGCCTGTTTCTACCTCTGTGAAATGGAATGATATTGATAAAGGAGATAAAGTGAAAATTAGCACTCAATGTAAATGTTGACTCCCTTCTCCTCCCAGAAGAGGCCAGGGTGGACTCCAAACGGAGACAGAGTCTAAAGAGAGAAATTGGAATCAGTCTGATAGTCTCAGAGGAAGCCAGAATCCTTGTTTTAGAGGCAGTGGGAGGAGGGAATCCCCTCTAGGGAGGGCCCAGGTCTTACTCATCCCCATGCCTGGCACAGGGCTGGCCAAATCGTAGGTGGTGCCAAGTAAAATGTTTTTAAGATTAAAAAAAAAAGTCTATTTTGAGAGAGTGTACACGTATGCAAGTGGGGGAGGGGCAGAGAGAGAGAGGGAAAGAGAATCCCAAGCAGGCCTCATGCTCAACACAGAGCCCCACACGGGGCTCCATCCCATGACCCTAGGATCATGACCTGAGCCGAAATCAAGAGCTCAACGCTTAACCAACTGAACCACCCAGATGCCCCATTTTTTAAAAGTAATCTTTATCCCCAACGTGGGGCTCTAACAACCCCGAGATCCAGAGTCGCACACTCCACCCACAGAGCCAGCCAGGACCCCTCCCCCTCCCTCTCCCCCAACTAAATTTTGAATGAAGGAAGGGAAGAAGGAATGAGCGGTGTCTAGAAAAGGCATAGCTTCCCCCCAGGGTCCTCCCGTTCTCACCTCCCTCCTCTGTCACTGTCTTCACCCACGTGGCTGATGTGTGAAGGTTGTTACAACGTCTGCAGTTCCTAAATTCTCCCATTTCTTCTTTATTATTTATTGTCGCTGTCACCTGCCAGGCTCAGCACACCATCCGTTTTCTTTTCGCCAAAGTCCCCTTTATACACAGAGAGGGAGCGGGAGAGGGACAGAGGGAAGGAAAGGAGGGATTGACAGACGGACACCGACGACACTTACTCCTCATCTGAATTTTGGCAACGTCACGTAGCACCTGGAGCGACACAGCAGGTGTAGGAAAGCTTGTGTGGACATGCGAGTGTGTGTCTGGGCACGTGGGCTTACACACGCGTGCGTACACACAGGCACGCGCAGCCTGATCTGCTGAGGAACCTGGCAGCACAGGGCTGCCTCACACAACCCTTTTAAATGGGTCATTCTGTATCGGTGCCACAGCTTTCCCCAGACACAGCTTTTTCTCTGAATTCCACCACCGCCACTCCCCCCTCCCCCTGCCCCAGTTCCTTTCTGGAGGGGATGGAAATGCTAACCCCCTCCCCCCCCAGATGTGTACGTGTGTGAGGGCACCGACCAGCACCGCTAAGAGGAAATAGACAGGAGTTCGTGGAGATGTCCCGTTTCCACCCCTTGCCCCGCAGCATAGAACACAGCCCTGACGCCCCAGGAGTTCCCGTGGTGAGGGCACATCTCACCCCAAGAGCCACGGGGCGGGCGTGGGGGTTGAGGAGGGAGGTGTGAAAACAGTCTTCCTCCAGTTTACACTTCTTTCTGGCAAGTAGCCCATGGCCTGTGGTGGGGCATTTGAGCAGTCCCATCCGAGAGCCCACTGCCCTTCTAGAAAGACATGGCTTTCGCTGGCCAATTGGGAGCATCACAGTCCCCGGAGCATGACATATGGTAGCCTTCCCTAGAAAGTTGTGCGATGCTTATTTGATGGTGAAAAAAACCTCATTTTCTCATTAGAAAGGTTGGTTTCCTTTCAACAAGAGGCCGCCTTTACCCAAATTAGCTCAGCGCCCAGCACGTCAGAGATGCATTAGGATGAAGCCATTTCTGTGGGTCAGAAGCATTGAAACATTGGCAGTTTCATGTGGCTCCATCCAATAGGTATGCTAGAATTTTAGATTCCCAAATGAAGATTTCTGTGCGTGCGTGCGTGCTTGCACGTGTGCAATGAAGCACCTTGTCAGAACACACAGGAGAAACAGCATGATGGTCAGAGAATCTAGATGTGAGTACTGGACTCACCATCTTAAAAGCTGTGAGTTCCTTCACTTCTCAGGGCCTCTGTCCCCTCATCTGCAGCGCCTTCTTCACAAGGTAGTTGTGAGACAGACGTGGAAAAAATAGATGTGAAAATGCTTTCCGTGTGGCAAATCACCATATAGCTGGGAGGTCCTGCGTGTGCATGGGTGTGTGTACATGCACCCTCGCAGGGTTGTGTTTACATATCCTTGAATATGTATAATTTTCTATGTTTATTGGGGCACCTGTTTGGCTCAGTCATGACTTCGGCTCAAGTCGTGATCTCAGTTCGAGTTCCAGCCCCGCGTCAGGCTCTGTGCTGACAGTTTAGAGCCTGGAGCCTGCTTCAGATTCTGTGTCTTCCTTTCTCTGCCCTCCCTCCCTTGCTCACTCTCTGTCTCTCTCTCTCTCAAAAATAGATAATGTTAAAAATTTTTTTAAAGAAATAAAAAACTAAGCTAAGAAGTCTTGATTGCAATTCTTTCATGCTATCCAGTTTTTTGGTTGAAATGTTTTCTGAACTTATTCCCTTGATGTAAACTGCAAGCTTTTTGGAACTCAGAACGTGTGTGTTTTTCAAAGATTTTATTTATTTATTTACTTATTTACTTATTTATTTAATTTATTATGAGAGAGAGAGAAGGAGAGAGCACACACATGCATGTCAGCAGGGGAGGGGCAGAGAGCAAGGGAGACAGAGAATCCCAAGCAGGCTCTGCACTGTCAGCACGGAGCCCGACATGGGGCTCGATCTCATGAACTGTGAGATCATGACCTGAGCTGAAATCAAGAGTTGGATGCTCAACTGACTGAGCCACCAGGTGCTCCAAGATTTTACTTTTGAGTAATGTCTACTCTCAACATGGGGCTCAAACCCACAGCCCTGAGATCAAGAGTGGCACACTCCATCGACGGAGCCAGCCAGGCATCCCTGGAACCCAGAGGGTTTTTATGAAAAACAAGACAGGCTTTCATTTAAGGCGGAATCTCTCACTTAGACAGTCTTGGTAACAGAAGTACTGAACACTTCTATTTTGTATATGAAGTAAAAAAGGACACATTTTTTAAAAATTTTTTTTAAATATTTTATTTATTTCTAGGAGAGAGAGAGAGACAGCATGAGCAGGGGAGGGGCAGAGAGAGAGGGAGTCACAGAGTCTGAAACAGACTCCAGGCTCCGAGCTGGCAGTCAGCACAGAGCCCGATGCGGGGCTCGAACCCACGAACCACGAGATCATGACCTAAGCGAAAGTCGGACGCTTAACTGACTAAGCCACCCAGGCGCCCCAAAAAAGGACACATTTTCTAATTGCTTCCTATAGATAACAGGCAAAATTGATAAACAGAAAAAAATTTAAAAAATTTTTTTAATGTTTATTTCTTTTTGAAGGAGACAGAGACAGAGCATGATTGGGGGAGGGGCAGAGAGAGGGAGCTATAGAA